TTCGAATCCGTGACATCCTCTAGTGTTTCCTCCTTTGGACTCCAAAATAAAATGTTCAAAATTTGAACCAATCCCCTTTCACACTTCTTAGTCCGATATCTTTGAAATGTCCTTACCATTTGAACTTCTTGAAGATAATTTTTCTTGACTTTTATCGAGAGTATTCTTAGGTAACTTCAGTTATCTATGATGTAATTAACTATAGGGGCTTGCCCTTATAGGAAGCTTTTCCCGAACCCAGCATAATATAAACCCTATTTAATTCCTTATATTAAATAGGGGAACTTGTCGGCCAATACATTGGTTTCGCAGACCAAACGGATGTCATAACTTTCTCTAGTTTATTTGATCGAGCCTCACTCTCAATTCTTGTGTTCATCCTTCGAGATAGATACAGGATTTGAGATAAAGTGCTCTTTCATCTAAACTATGAAGATTATGGGGTCAGTTTGACTTCATCTTTTTCAAAACTAAAATTTTTAAAAAAAAACGTCCTTCCGAAGCGGGCAACGGGATTTCAATTCCGATGACCGACAGCTTCTTACGGGCAAACCCCACACCAAAAATAGTGCCGACAATCACCCTGATGAACGACCAAGCGCCTCGCCTGGAAGTGGAACCCTAGGAGGTTCGTCCCCAAATGCACCCACCAAGGAATTCACCTATCCTGCACAACTAAATCAGCAACCAACAGACAAAGGGACCAGGTGAGTCTCAACGCACCGACACAACCACATCTGTGCGGGCGAACATGTGATGGGAAGAATAGATGTGAGTGTTTGTCCGGTCACTCGCAGGAGGGGCCTTTATTTGGCAAATCAAAGAGGTTATATCTCTACCTAAGCTAAGGATTCTTCGATTGGATGCTTACAAATGAAGGACCAACTCTATCAACCACGTTGCGTCGTTCGAATCATCTGTCGATCTGCTCTAGATTGACAACCCAATAATGTGTCGTATCTTCCTAACCACTTTGAATTAGTCAGCCCTTCAGTAGTTCAATGGTCTGTCAACCGACACCATTCCAAGTTACTACGAGTTTAGGATACTCTTCATTTCACACTTCTTAAACATATAGAAGTCGAGGAAAGACTCGCACCCCGCTCTATCTCATGATGGGAGAAAACGAGAGCCTACGGGCCTATATCACCCACTTCCAGAATGAAATGTTGAAAGTTATAAATCTGAAGCTAGAAATAACATGAACTACCTTGAAGTGAGGAGTTTGAAGCAAGTGATTTAAGTATGACATAAATCTGTTTAAACTTTCTAATTTCGCAGAAGTATTGAAGAAGATGAACGAGCAAATACTCGTCGAAGAAGCCCTCTAGAGTTCCCAAAAGGGCAAGTAAGAATCATCTAACCACTTATCAAAGACGCAAAAAGAATGGAGCGAACAACAAATGGTGAATGACAATCAATTTTTCTGTTACTAAAACAACAACTCTTAGTTCAAGATCAGTGGAGAAACGACCAAGGTAACCATGAATTAAAGCAGTGCTATGATCAATGATCAACTTAGTATTATGAGTGACCATAGGTCTACAGGGAAATGCAAAGTTAGACACCCCTCAGTGTGTTGATGTCGGAAATAGTCTAAGCCATCCAAAATAATAACTACTTCAAATAGGCCCCGCCAATAAAGGCGTCGCCGGTCTTATGAGATCTGAAAAGGTAATATCAGTACCACCATGACCATAGACACAACTCAAAGGAGTGTCGTCACCTCTGAAACCTAATATAGGAACTTGTCTGAACCAGAAAAACACACATTCACAGCCGCAAGGTAAAGCGCCAACAAAGGTTCCCTCCAATGGGCCTGTTAGGGGCGAGGTCGATGTAGCAGAGATAATCCCCGCGATCTTTTGGGGAGGACCTCCACCCTCTGGTCTAAAGAGACAACATCGAAAAAGGTATGCTTCGTCGCTCCATACACACATAACCATTTACCCATTGTCTTTACAGATGCAAATCTCCCACCAAAGAGGAACTCTTACAATGAGGCGATTGTTGTCACAATGCTGATAAAAAAACTACTAAGTGGGTAGTATTCTCGTTCATATGGGAAGTTCGATGAATATACTGTTAAAATTAGTGTTCAATAAGATTGGCTTGAAGGTCGATTAGTTAACAGCACCGGCCAGCCCGTTGTTCCAATTCTCATGGAAAAGGAAGGAGGTATCTCCATCTCTTAGGGAGAGCTAAGAAAGTAGTATAGCAACACACAATATTTTCTCGTGGTAGAGTCACCACAGACCTATAATATTATCTTCAGTCGACCACTCCTGAACAGCTGTCAGGCGGTAACTTCAAGCTACCATGTAGCCGTAAAGTTCCCAGGCGATGGGGAAATAATAACAGTCCAGGAAAAATTGAAGAAGTCTAGAAACTGATATTAGCGAGCAGTTTCGAGTGTCGACCAAGAACCGCTCAATATCCAGATCCATAGTGAGGGCGATCTCGAGACCAGTGAGGTCGTCCTCTAGATACCAATATCCGATGAAGAACCCGATAAAGTTTTTTTGATTAGTGAACATTTTGCGCAGGATTTGAGAACCAACTGCATAGATGTTTTGGGAGAACTAAGAAGTGTTTTCCTGAACCACAACAGAAATGCCCAATGTTTTGATCGATGCAATGTGTCGTCGACTGAACATTAGCCCCTACTCCCGTTCGGTCCAACAAAAGATCCGACCGGTCTCCAGATCTTTGTCTAAACCAATTGCGGCGGAAGTGCATAATTTGTTTGACATTGGTTACATGTGTGAAATCCAGTACCTAACTTGGCTCTTGAACATCATCATGGTCAAGAAAGCCAATGGTAAGTGGCAGATGTACGTCGACTTCACTTACCTTAAAGCTGCTTGCCCGAAGGACACCTACCCCCTTCCAAAGATTGATGCTTTGGTGGACACAACCGTATGATAGCCAGTAATGAATTTCTTCTACGTTAACTCTAGCTACCACCAGATAAAGGCGCATTCAGCCGATGCAAAGAAAATGACATTCATTACTGCAGAAGACATTTTTTTTTTTGTTTTAGTTTTAATGTAATGTTCTTTGGACCTTAAGAACGTTGGACGATCTATCAGCACCTCATGGATGTATTTTTTTTCTAATAAAAAATAAAAGAATGTTGAGGTGTATCTCAACGATATCTTAGTTAAAAGCAACCAACCGAACAACACCTGGAAGACCTAATCTATTGAAACATGAATCAAATCATTACGGTTGTGTTTGTGACAATTGTGTGGTGGCGGTGCGTTACTTCATTGTTTTGTTAGGTGTTTGGAAAAATTATGTTTTGTATGTTTCTTCAAAAAGTTATGATGAGAAGCTGTGTTTGCAATCTAACATGATTGTGCTGCCTACTAGAAAATTATTGTTTTGACCTTTTAAAAATAAAATAAATTTATAATAACAATTTCAATTTTTTGAATATTATTTTTTTCTATAACAATTTGACAAATGTTTTTTTTTTTTCAAAACAGTCATAATTGTCTCAAACAAACACTACAATTGTCAAAGCTAAATAACAAAGTCTCTAAACATTTTTTTAGAAGTAAAATTTATTAAAAATAAATTACAGAAGGTTATATTTCAATTTTTTTATTTTAAGAGTATTAAAAATGATAAAATTTGTTAAAAAAAAGAAAAAAACGAGATACTTGTTAGAATAAAACTAAACCATACGGCACGCAAAAAAAAATTGCGTGTGATCGTAATAATATCTCGACCAACCAATTCGCATCACACGGCTTAAAGGGAAGAGAAACACATGGACAAAGAACACAAACTATAGTGGGCCGTTCACGGGCTGCAGCCCATCCCATCAGTAAAATAAGCCAAACTCATGAGATGATGACACCTGTACGGTAGATTATAAAGATGTCACCGTCATTTTGCCCTATAAATTGAGCTCTCGCCTGCAACTCGAAACCAGTCAGTTGAATCCAAAAATAGCATTTTAAATCTTTTTATTTGCGTTCATTTTTTAAATTTAAGGAAAAATGTCTTGCTGCGGAGGAAACTGTGGGTGCGGAGCTGCTTGCAAGTGCGGCTCTGGCTGCTCTGGGTAATCTTCTGCTCGAACTGAATGTCTGTATTTTTTTTTTTAATTACTTTTTGATGTTGTGAACGTGAAAACCTAATCTGGTAGATTTCGAATGGATCCTGGTCTTATTTTTTTTTCTTAAATTTCTTAGAATCTGTTGACGCGGGTGATGTTGATCTATCCTTATCGCTGATAGAATGTTTTCCCCTCTATCTGCTCGTAATTTGAGCATTTAATTTAATTTTATAGGGTGTTGTAGACGGATGATATCTGATCCAGTCTTTGTGCAATTTTGTGTGAACATGTGATTTTAGATGTATATATTGTTTTCTTGTACTTTCTTCTTTGTATTTACTTCTTATGTATGGTTGATTTGCCACAATCCCATGTTTTCAGGTTCTGATGAAGTCGTTGTGCTAATTCTCTCAAATTTCTTTGAATTCAGTGATGTTTTGACTTGTTCATGTGTCATCGTCGCCGTTCTTATGTTTTTGCCCTCTATTCGCTTGCGATTATGGCATGTAATCCAGTTTTTTAGGGTTTTATAAACGGTTCTTTTCAAAATGGATTCCATGGATTAACACCCTGATTTGGTTTTGCTCAAACTTAGATGCAAGATGTATCCTGATTTGGGAGAGGAGACCTTCGCCACCAGCCGGACCATTGTCGCCGGAGTTGCTCCTGAGAAAGGGTTTTTCTCTTCTCTCTTATCTCCTTTTCTTCTTCCTATTAAATTCATCCGAGCTCTGATCTTTTTCCCTTCTTTGTTTTCCTTTTTGGGCAGACACTTTGAGGCGGTGGTGGCCGGAGCAGAGAATGGTGGCTGCAAGTGCGGCGATAACTGCAACTGCAACCCCTGCAACTGCAAGTGAGAGCTCTGGAACGAGTGTATGCAGCTAGATCTTGAGATGCGATAGATCATATTGTGTGCTTAAAGGTTCTGGTAATTATAAGTATGCATGTAATTATAAGCATCTCTGCTGTTAAATGCAGTGAAATTATCTTGTTTGTGTGCGTGTGCGTGTGTTGTGTTGTGTTGCATGGTGTGTTTTGTTTGTTTGAATGTGAAGTGAGTTTTTAATCTATGGAAGTTGAAGTTTGTGGTGTTTGATCTATTGTTCCTTTTCGTAATATTAAGGGGCGGGGTAACCAATTTAACTCAGATTATATTCAAATCTTGCTGGACGGAAAAATAAAATTATAACTTTAAATTTTTTATTCAGTTAATTCAATTTCTCCTTAGCATTTCTCTATTTTGTTTTCAATCCCAGATTTGTTAAATCATTGTGTTTAAAGTTCTGCTTAAATCGATAGCATACATCCCCTAGAAATGAATTATTTGTAGCAATTGGGCTTGAGCTCAATTAAATGGGTCAGGCTGGCTTGCGGGTTTTTAATTTTGTTTTAAATAATTATAGAATAAATGCATATTATTTGGCATAAAAATGTTTTTTTTTTACTTGGGAATTTGTTTTAAAAGGTCCTTTTATTAATTTTAGAATAAATTTTATGTATCAAGCTTGATTGTTTTCGGCACGATAATTCATCGCTACAGGATATACATATTATTTAAGAGTAAAATTGCAAATATTTTGTTCCTGCAATTTGTTTTAAAAGTTATTTTTGACATTATGATGATGTTTGTCCATCATAAAATAATATTGCGAAATTTTTTTGAAAAATATGGATGTATAAGTACAGGATGAAAAATATTGTATTGATGATGTTTGTTCATAAATTTGTATATATTAAAGGTATTGGGCGGGGTCAGATTTGGCTTGGGTTGGACTTATTCGGGTTTAAGTTAGTCAAAAACTGACGGGCAGGATTTGGCCTGGTTTCTATTTCAATTTTCATGGCCAAGCTCATCCATTATAAGTTGGTTTGTGGGGAACTTGCCGAGCCACCTGCTGAATGCCGCGTCCCACCTGAAAAGCACTACTGAAGGTGCAATATGAATGATGAAGATATAATTACATACATAACATGGAAAACATAATTATTTATAAAATTAACACACATGATATTTATCTATTACCGGGTTGATGTATTTACGCGTGACATAATCAAATCATTGACAATTTGATAAAAATGAATAAAAAAAATATGGGTTGGAGTTTTATCATGAATTTTGATATTTGAGTGAGAAAGTGAAAATGGATGAAAGTGGGTACTGGATTTGCAAATAGTGATGTTTTAGGTGCTATGTGTGTGATTGGCCCAAATTTGAAATATAGTAAAATGGTGAACCAAGAGTAGTTCGTCTGATTGTGTGAAATTGAGGTTGTCAGTTGGCATTTGGTGGTCCTTGGATCGATAAAACTTGACTCCATTAGCTTTCCTTTGTTGATTAGCTATTATGGTATGGTTTTCTATTATTATCTATGGATGAGGAACTCATATTGACAAAGCAAGGCTAGACTATCGGACAAATGGATGAATCACTGTAATTCTTTGGGCAACTCACTTTTTGACAGGGTAATTCTCTGTGATGCTCTTTGTGATTATATTATGGACAATTCCTGAACTATGGTGAGGATTCTCAAGTGCATATGTGAGATGGATGACAATGTTGTTCTTTTTTTTTGGAGTCGAGGTGTGGTGAGAGAAATATCAATGCCTTTGCTTAGCTCAATTGACCTTGGTCCTTGGTTTGGATTGTCTGCATTCAACCGTGCTCTAACGCCGGTTAAGGGGGAGGGTGGGCGCTGCATCTAGTAAAAAAAGGTCATTTCATATTTCGCTAGTGACCCATTTGGTCAGTAGACCCTTTGGTATTTTACTAGTGAGCCCTTTGTTCTTCCTCTTGTGAGTCATTTGGTTTTTCTGCTAGTGGGCCTTTTAGTCGCGACTAGTCGGCCCTCCTTAGCCTTACTTCCTAGCCTCCTGGTTCATTGGATCTCCTCGAGATTCATGCAAACACATTTCTGATGTATAAATTTATTTTAAAATCTGTTGATTGTTAAGAACTATTGGTCATAAAGTGCAAAATTTTTTTTTTTTATTTTGAGAAAAGTGTCAAAATAGTCCATGGTTATTTATATGGGGCAGAGTTTATGAAAGTGCCAAAATTGTCATCAATGATTTTAAAATTAAGCTCCAATAGTTCTCAATGTGGACTATTTCAACTCAACTTTAAAGAGTCAAGAGATAATTCTGACACTTCTATAAATTTTGTGACTAAAATGATCCCACGTAAAAGTCGATGATTATTTTATCACTTTACCTTTTTTAGATCTCTACTTAGAGATAATAGATATAGAAGATATTGGGATTTTTTTTTGTTATTTTTGTTTATTATTATTATTATTATTATTTTTTGAATCATAAGATGGGCACCTTGCTATAAGTTATAGGAAATATTATAGGTTTTATGCAAGAAATTTATGGTATATAAGTAAATTATACAATTTATCTCTTTTAAATTAAAAATAAGATATTATAATATATTAAAAAAATTAGAATTTGAATAATATTAGTTGGATAATAACAATCAAATAAAAAAAATTGAGCAATAAAGATCAGATAATAATAAACAATGAATGATTTATGATCAACGATCAAAGTTAATAGGACGATTATGATTATATGAAAGAAAACTGGACTAGAATTTTGTTAATCAAATAATATATAGAAGTGCAAGTATATTTTATTTATTGAAATAATCAAATAGAAAAAATCCATTGAATTAACATTAATAATGCTATTAAATGATAATAAATTATTATAAACTGTTAAATTAAATAAAATATAATTAAACAATTTCTATTTAAATAATACTTTATATATGATACAAAGCTGAACATTCAACAAGTTGTGTTCTATTCTCCCCGGGAACTCGCTTCATCTGCAGCTCTGCGTTTTTTTCTCAGGAACGAAACCTAGAATTCGCCTCCGAAACCCTAGCCCTATCCTTACCGAAATTCATCAAACATGCCGGCGACGGCTGGGCGTGTGCGTATGCCTGCGAACAACCGCGTTCACAGCAGCGCGGCTCTTCAGACCCACGGCATCTGGCAAAGCGCCATCGGCTACGATCCATACGCTCCCACAAACAACAACGAAAAGGATGCGAAGCCCTCTGCCAATCGATCCTCCCTCGGAGACGGCGAGGATGGAGGGGAGAACGCTTACGCGAGCTTCCAAGGTCTGCTCGCCCTTGCGCGGATTACGGGAACCAACGCCGACGATACCCGTGGCGCCTGCAAGAAGTGTGGCAGGGTCGGCCATCTTACTTTTCAGTGTCGGAACTTCCTTAGTCTCAAGCAGGGGAGGGAGAAGGATGAGGCGGCGGCTGATGAAGCCGCGGCTTTATTCCATGAATTGAAGAAGGGGAGCGGGAGGAAGGAAGAAGAGAGTGAAGAGGAGGAGGAGGAGGAGGATGAGAGCTCTGATTCAGATTTGGATCCGGAGATTGAGAAGTTAATCGCTGCTAAATACGGAAAGAAAGGTAAGAAGGAATCTGAGAAGAGGGGGATGTCAAAGATGAGGAGTGGCAAAAGATCAAGATTTAGTGATGATGAAGAAGAAGAGGAGGAGGAGGAGGATGGGAGGAGAAAGGAGAAGAGAAGAAGGAAGGAAGAGAGGAGGTATGAGAGTTCTGACGATGAGGATGAGAAGCGGGCCAGGCGTAGGAAGAGTAAAAAGGAGGGCAAGCGGCGGAGGAGCCACAAGAGGAGGCCTGTTTCTGACGACGAGTCATATGATGAGTCTAATGGTCGTCATCACCGCAAACGGCGCAATGAGAGGACAGTTGATCTTTCTAGTGATTCTGATGGTACGGCTGCTGCTAAACATCACAGGCGAAGAAGAGAGAAGAGAAGAGACCGGAGGAGAGCTTATCGTAGTTCAGATACTAATGGTTCTGGGTCTGATGTGGATGATATGGAGAAGAAGAGCTTTGAGAGGAGGAGCCGTAGGGATAGGAGAGATTAACTCCTCTCACAAATATGGTTTGATTGCTTTTCTGTTGAGGCATTGGTACTCATTGTATGGTTGTGATTTATTATGCACCTTTTGAGTTTGATTTAACGGGAAAACTGATACAACATTTGGTAGATATGCATCTGAGTGCTTTTCATGGTGGTATATGTATTTGTCGTTGTATCTGAAATGGTGAATGATTTTCTTGCCGGGTGACTTTGTTTATCATCGGCCTTCTTTGTGTTAAGCAATTAAGTTGTAGTTTCTTCAGTTTTATAGCCCTTTTTCATCTTTATTCTCTTTGCAACATGATTTATGGTTTCGTCAAAATAGACAAAAATGATATATTTTGATATATATTTTTTATAGATTTAATGGTGAGTATGCTTGGGTGGTTCTCTAGCTCTTTGCTGATTATTTTAAAGCCCTCCATATTATAATAGATCAGTTTTGTTTTTTTGTTTTTCTAAATCTTGCACATTTTAATGCAATAGATTTTGAAATGACTCTACAAATTTCTTGTTAATTATTGTCACACAATAACGATGCCAAGATTTGTGTTTCAGAATCCACATGCAACAGTGCAAGACAAAACAACATTACTTCCAGATCTTAGTTATTGGATTGCTTCAAATTGTTTGAAGGTCATTACGTCAAATCCACGAACTCATCTCATATTTTGAAATGTCAACCAAGTTCTGATAGTTTAGCTTAATTTGCACCGAATTCGAATCCTAAAGCCATAAATTGTTTTTGATTTTCAATATCAAAGATCTTAAAGCTTACAAGTCTTCTATATTCTTCAATTATCTTCAGGGGAATAATGGTCCGACACAACTTTTAGAGATGAGATGTCTTGCTTCTCATTCATCTTATCAATTGAAGGATCATAATACTTTTTATATTAGGGTACTTTTGTCCAAGATGAATCTTGGAGATGAAATCTCTTCAACATGTATTGTATCTCAAAAGTATTAAATCATGTTTCACCCACCTTTATAGAAGGCACATTACTCTAGTTCCCTCTCTTCCCCAATAATGCAAGGGCTCCATTTTGAGCCCTTGCTTTTCATTTCATGGAGGAAATTATATTGAATTAGCTAAGCTATTTTCACCTTCAAGCTCAATCATTGACCCAAAAGATTAAGGAATTTTGAAAATTCATTGACTTGTGTAGCAAAGGGACTTCACGAGGACAAAATCACCTGGTTGGCTTGATAAATTTATATTTTTCTAATTTTTTTGGAGAAGTATTCGGCTTAAGATGACCCATCAATCTAACTTCCACTGACATATAAGTATCATTTTCATCTTACTACATTTTGACATTGCTGATTAGTGTAGGCCAAACCATTTTATATGCTATTTTATGCCAGGAGCTATTACATCGTTTGGGGATATATAGAAGTTGATCCTCTCCTTGACAGGTCTTGACATTTCATGTTTCAATAATATTAAGCATCATAGAAGTGATAGAACTATTGAACAGTAAGTGTTTTGGGCAACCAATATTCTCACCTTTAATTTGGGCATAAAATGGTCTTTTGAGAGTTTTTGGTATAATGTTGGCATTTACTAACTTCAAGTTGAGAATGGTGGCATTTGCTCTGGCCTACCACATCATTGACCTTTGTATGGCATCACAATATGAATTTATAAAACATAAATGCCTACTCCTCAGCTCGCATCATTGCTTGTGCCTCCTTATGCATCTTTGTTGCTCTCTCCATAGTTAGTATTGTTTCCTTCTTCTCTTTACAGAACTTCAATGATTGCTTCTTAATTCCAACACAGCTTTAATGACTGCTCGCAGTTGTCATTGTCACATGCACCTCTTTACTTAAACTTCAATGTCAACTTCTTAATTGAATTTACTTTGCCTCGTTGCAAGCACCTCTACAAAGTTTGCTAGAGACTTAACTAAGATTGGGACTTGCATCTTCATGCACCTCCATGTCTAGTTTCTTAGTTGTCGTCATTGCTCAGATATGGCCCTCTCTAGAATTTCCAAATAGCATGTTCCCAAGCTCAAGGAAGGGGCATAAATAGGCAATGGTTGTCTTTCCAAAAGTTTCTATAGCAATTCTCGATGGGTAAACATCACAAGCCACCTGATGTTGAACAATGAGGGACAACGTTTTTCCTATAAGCATGATAACATAACTCCAACCATCTGAACTTTATAATGTCTTAAAAAGCGATAAATGAAGCTCCATATTTACTAAAGATGTGCATTTTTTGTAAAGGCAAATAACAAGCTTGACTTTTTTAAAATTTCATTACTTAAGCTAGACATGTCGCCCCCACTTCTACATATGGCTATGGTGCCATATCCTTATTAAGTAGAGACCTATGCTTACTTGTTAATCTTCATTTCATAGATTGGTTGAATATCTCACCTCTTTTGCAACTTCTTTTGTCAAATTGTTTGAACTCAACAAATAACTCAGCTGACTACTCCTTAATTCGTGGTGCCGCTTACCTTATTGCTCTTGATTTTGTGTTTTAGTAAGGCGTTTTCACTTTTAAGAAAATTTTAATCCCAAAATTGTTTGGTGGGCAATCATGTATAATGCCATCGCCATAAAGGAATATTAAGAACGTGAAGATTGATTCATTTGTTTTTTATTTTAAAAGTTTAGATTGCACCATTAGTTCATGAACCATTTATGAATTTTAGCTTTGAGGGATATCCACTTCAATGTCTAGGAAGTGTTTGTAGTAAAAAGGAATCTCAAATGAAGTTTTCGAGAATTTTTAAGGATCCGTATTCGTTCTCATCTTTGAAGTACCGACACGAATACGATGATACAATATTGCATGGGCACATTATAAATGTAGGACACGATATGCTATGGACACACTATATTTTATAAATTATTGATATGAAATATTTAATTTCTTTTATTCTCTATCCAATCATTAATTATAGTTTTATAATAAAAATTGTTTGCTATTTAATAACATTGCCTATAAATGATTAAATGAATATATAGTCTATATATTGTAGTCATTAATAATATGCATATATATATATATATATATATATATATATATATATATATATAAAAAAATATTTATTAGTATTTTAGAATATTTTTAATTGTATTTTACATCTCATCAGACCTGCATATTAGAAAATTAAAAGACAAATAAATAAAGTGAAATAAAATCTTGTTAACATCATAGTTTCATCAAAATATTTGAAAGCAAGATAATGTCTCATAACGAATCAAGCAGAGGACTGTGTCATTTGTGAAGATTTATTTTAACATTTTTATTTATTGTTCTAGTAACATTGACTCTATTATAATATTAAGAAAAGGATGGACTAACTCGAATCTTATCTCAACGATGGTTGAGGTAGTAGGCTTGGGCTTTGGCTTTAGGTTCGAGTTTGACAATGGCTTTGAAGGTCATTATACAATATGACTTAATCTGAAAATGATTAACAATTTTGAATGAAATGACTGGTTTTGGCTTTGAAGGTGTTGGAATGATTTTGAGGTGCATGATATGGGCTTCAACTTCGATCAAAGCTCTTTGGCTTCGCAGTATCATTTTTTGTTTTATTAAGCTTTGAAGAATTGATGGAAATGCGAGAAGAGGGGTAGGTGCTATGTATCGCGGATGTCTAAGGAAACTAGTGCATATAATATTATGAGTATCATTTCTTTTGTAAGTTTTGGTTTCAAGTTTGTTTATTTTGAGTTTTATGTGCCTTGCTTGTGTTATGCTCATGTTTCGGCCATTTTATATTGTGTTTAGTAAACTTTATATTCCAATTTGATTGCAACAAAATTGATTTAGTTTTTGAATTGTTAAACATGCGTCATAGCATTTGGGTGCTATGTTTGTGTTTGACACATATTCTTCACGAACACAAAATCCATTTGAAAGTGCCTGGGCTTCATAGAACTCTACCATTTTGTTATCACATTGTATCATTGTACTTTTATTATGTTTGTGTTCGACACATATTCGTCACGAACACAAAATCCATTTGAAAGTATATGGGCTTCATAGAACTCTACCATTATTATCACATTGCCGATCTTGAGAGGGTTAGATCTATCAAAGGGGGAGTAGATCTCTATATCAACTAATTTGCTTCTATGGTACTACTTGTAGTCCTTTGTTGTACTTATATTTATTTGTGGGATCACATAAGGAACACAAAATGTTCAAATCAATCTTGGGAGGTTTTGATCTTTACTCGACTTGTATGCATTTGCATTGAAAGTTGATCTTTATATTCACTTGGCGGAATTCCATCCCTAGGTAGGGTTTCATGGTAATCCCAAAAGTTTAGACAAGGAGGATTTGATTTCAGTGAACCTGTTTGTGTGCTTCCGTGTTGCAACTTGATGCTATAACCCTTGTTCAACTTCTACATCTGATCGGGTTTAAGGTGAAAGGTGATGTCAATCCTAGAAGGATTCAATCTTAAACTGATGTGCACTCTTTCGCGCTACAATTTGATTTCTTCATAATCTTCGCGAGCTCACCACAAACATTAAGGAGCTCTTTTGCTATTGTTTCTTGAGCTTTTAAGTACTTCTTTAGAAATTTCTTATGCCCTGGTCATTATTTAGCTTTATTTAGGAGTTTTATTCGTTCAAGAGATATAATAGCAAAATGACTTGCAAGCATCACCATGAGCAAAAATATTCACCAATACTACAACCCGAAAATGTATAACACTGGCTCGCGAATTTGCTGCATTTCTTGAGTCCTAGCTACCAATTTGACTTCATCATCTATCGGCACGTGTTATCTCCTTGGTGAATCATATATTTTGTTGAATAGCCTTCTTGAAGAATGATTTCCATTTTTTTCTTTCGCTCAACATGCAGAGGCATCCTTTGAATATCTAAATTCATTTCTCATTCATTTTGAAATCCTTTCGGAAATCCTTTCAGTTTCCTTCCTCGACAGCCAATTTGCACATAGAATATTGAGGATTCTCTCTTTGAGATTCTTCTACTTGTTGAATCCGTTTGGGAGTGATGATCATCTCACTCGACAGCCTCATTGAAGACCTCAAGGCGTTCTTTGCTCTGCATGTTAGCCAGCACATTGGCTTTTTATGAAATGATACTGAAATATAGCTTATAATCCTTGCTCTAGTCTCCTTGCATGCTTCAAGTAAGTTATTTTTTGTGCAAAGGAATACTTCGAACTGTAATAATATGGACTCTAAGTTAGCTTCGCAGGCTCAGGTTAAGCTCTTTATGCTTCAAGAAATACATAATATTTTGATGATTTGTAGAAAC